AATCTGATAAAATAAAAAAATAATATTTAAAATAATATTTAGGGGATACAAATATGATAAAATTCGAAAATAATATTTAAAATAATATTAAGGAGATAAAAGTTTGATAAAAATTGAAAAAAAATTACAAATATGACATTAGAGTTTCTTAGGGTTGCCCTAGCGTTTCTTTCTTTTATATATAAGATATATAGGAGATTAAAATTGATGAAAATCGATAATAATATTTAAACTAATATTTAGGAGATAAAAAATTAAAAAATAATATTTAGGAGATAAAAATCTGATAAAAATCGAAAATAAAATTTAAAATAATAGTTAGGAGATAAAAATTTGATAAAAATCGAAAATAATATTTCAAATAATGTTAATGAGATAAAAGTTGATAAAATACGAAAATAATAATTAGAATAATATTTAGGAGATAAAATATGATTAAAATCAAAATTATTATTTAAAATAATATTTAGGAGATTAAAATTTGATAAAAATCGAAAATAATATTTAGGAGACAATAATCTGATAAAAAAACAAAATTAATATTTAGGAGATAAAAAACTAATAAAAACATGATAAAACTCGAAAAAAATATTTAAAATATTATTTAGGAGATATAAATTTGATAAAATTCGAAAATAATATTTAGGAGATAAAAATCTGCTAAAAGTTGAAAATTATATTTAAAATATAGTTAGGAAATATAAATTTGATAAAATTAAAAAAATATTATTTATAATAATATTTAGGAGATAAAAATTTGATAAAAAATAATAATATTTAGGAGACAAAAATATGATAAAAATGAAAAATAATATTTAAAATAATATTTAGGGGATACAAATATGATACAATTCGAAAATAATATTTAAAATAATATTAAGGAGATAAAAATTTGATAAAAATTGAAAAAAAATTACAAATATGACATTAGGGTTTCTTAGGGTTGCCCTAGCGTTTCTTTCTTTTATATATAAGAAAAATTGATGAAAATCGATAATAATATTTAAACTAATATTTAGGAGATAAAAAAAGCAAAAAATAATATTTAGTAGATAAAAATCTGATAAAAATCGAAAATAAAATTTAAAATAATAGTTAGGAGATAAAAATTTGATAAAAATCGAAAATAATATTTCAAATAATGTTAATGAGATAAAAGTTGATAAAATACGAAAATAATAATTAGAATAATATTTAGGAGATAAAATATGATTAAAATAAAAATTATTATTTAAACTAATATTTAGGAGATAAAAATTTGATAAAAATCGAAAATAATATTTAAGAAACAATAATCTGATAAAAAAACAAAACTAATATTTAGGAGATAAAAAACTAATAAAAACATGATAAAACTCGAAAAAAAAAATTAAAATATTATTTAGGAGATATAAATTTGATAAAATTCGAAAATAATATTTAGGAGATAAAAATCTGCTAAAAGTTGAAAATTATATTTAAAATATAGTTTTTTTTTTAAGAAGACATTGCAATCTTTATTAGGCACTATTGGCCAAATGTGAAGGGAGAATAGTCCCTTCCGAACAGTCAGAAACAGAGATGGAAGCTAGTTCATGAGCCAAGCTATTGCCCCGTCTCTTAACAAAGGAAAAATTGCAAAAAGAAAAAAAACGAGCTTCAATAAAACATTCTTCTAAAATGGCTCCGTAGGATCTGAGCGAATGTGCCTTGTTGCGTAGAGCTTCCATAATTTGTAAGCAGTCCCCCTCTACAATTATAGATTGCCATTGACGATTACGGCTAGTGATGAGTGCTTGGAGGACAGCACGAGCTTCTCCATCAGATGGTCGGACCCTGCCCATTAACTTCCTCACCTTCCACCAGATGCATCTACCGGTACAGTCACGGGCCACCAACGAAATATTGTAGTAGTCCTGTCCCAAAGGAAATGCGGCGTCCACGTTAACTTTAAGGGTTCCCGTTGGTGGAGGCTGCCAGACTTCTTGGAGGTTAGGTGATGGAGGTTTGAGGGGGCGAAATTGTGCTTCATTGAATGTTTGGAGATAGACACTGCACCAACCGATAATATCTGCTAATTTGAAGCACTCCTCCCCGTGAAGCTGCCGATTTCTCCTTTCCCAGACTTTCCAGCACACCACCACCGCCAAAAGAAAATACTCTTTAGCCAACGTTTGCTCCAAATATTCCAACCAACTCCAGAACGGATTGCCATCATCGAAATGGGAGAGATGAAAAGGGGCCTGTTTCCAGAGTTGTCTAACGCCCTCACACCCAAAAATTGCATGGAGGGTCGTCTCAGGTTTATGTCCGCACGACGGACAAAACGGGTCTTGGGTAATAGTGCGTCGGAAAAGTTCCACTCTGCATGGGAGGATTTCAGCACACGCGCGCCATAGAAAATTTCGGATCTTAGGAGGAATGTCTAGTTTCCAAATCTTGTGCCACTTACGAGCTTGCGTGCCGCTGGCATCTCCCCCGTTGCCTTTTCCCGAATGCGTACCACGAAGAAATTTGTCCATAATGTTGTGATAACAGGACCTCA